TTTTTGGCTTGGGATTATGATGGAATAAAGCAAAATGACTCACTAAACTGTTTGCGCTTTTTTGTTATGAAGTAACAGTCAGCTTATGCAATTTTCAACGTGTTTTTTTACTATGAGTCCTTCCGGAACAGTGTCTTTGTGCTTTAGTACAAGGATAAGACTGCGTACATCCGACTCCCTTACCCCACCGTAGGTGGGAGCCTTTGTGGCACTGGGGTAATGATGATGATGATGATGAGTGTCCTAAATATACCTCAAATTAAATATTCAAAAATTACATACATAAATTAAAAATAAGACCAATGATTTTTATTAAAGGAAGAAGAGAATCATAAGTGAGTGTCCAAAAATTATGAATTACGAAACTTTAGTGTGGAATATGAGATACACATATAACCATAGTGTCCAATTTGGTCTATTTGAAACTTTAGTGTCCAATATGAAGTTTTCATATAATCATAGTGTCTAATTTGACCCTTATCCCATTTTTTATTAACCTTCCCCTTAATTGCCAACATATAATTGTAGTAAAATAGAAGTACTACTCAACTAAAATACAACTCCTATTATTCAGGGAACTTACCAAACTTGCACATGTAATATCTATACCTTCAACTTTATATAAACAGTTATGTTGACACTATGATCATAGAGTTTTTTTAAAAAAATTTAATTTTATGATTGTACATAATCTAAAATAAACAAAACACTTATGAGGATGCAATTAAAATTATATTGTACGGGATGTAATATTATTTATTTCACAACTGAACTTTTAGATTGTTAAATGCATCCAAGCAAAGCTTAGAGTATTTTAAAATATTTGCAATAAATTTATATGTGTAGAAACCATATCAACATGGTGAAAAATAAATTTTTATCGAGTTTGGGTTATATATATTGCATATGCAAGTTTGATATATTCATCTCACACACATTCAAAGTTCGACATATTTATTATTTCTCCCTTAATACAAAGTGATAGCTCAGAATAAAACTGTAAAGCTCCACTACTTTTATTTATTGTTTTATTCTTTGCGCTAGAATTTGTGCAGTTTTATTCTAAGATGTCACTCTGGATTAGTAGTGTGCACGGTAAAAAGAAATACATAAATTGCACAAATTAATTTTTTTTTTATACGCAATATTGGTTTCATGTGAAAGATAATAAAAATTAATGATTTTTGATATATTTTTTGTAACAATCGAAATACAAATAAAAAAGTTATAGCACTTTAAAAAATTAGATTTTTTGAAATAAGGAAATTAAATTTGCACCGGAGAGGCCCACATGCCTCGCCAATTAAGAGGTTCATCACCAGGTCTAAGTAATCTAAGGTGAAAGCCCACCTAATCTGGCTCAAACACTAAGAGCCTAAGGGTCTAATGTCATAGGTGAAAAATTAAGTGAAAAATAAGGGGTTGCTTTGCGCACCACGATTAGGCGCGTCTCTAATATTCCACTCTTGCACCTATTTGTCCTCTTGTAGACTCTTGTGCTCAAGGTCTAATGTCACGGAAACTCACATAGCAATTCCTTCCACTCATTGTAACGCTTTTCAAATTTGTCTTCTTTTCTTTCCTAAAGTTAAAACCTAAGGTCTTACTCATTAATTTTTAAAGCAATCCACTCAATGGCGTTAGATTTTTTGAACTTTAAACCTAAGAAATAATGGAAATTGCATTAAATAGGACTTTACAATTTTCAAAATAGAACTATTATGTTTTTCTTTCTGAAATATGAATTGTTACTGTGATGATTGAAAAATATTGTCTTGATTGAAAAATATTGTGATTAACTATAATAAATATTGTCATGTTGAATATATAGCATGCGATATATCAGACCAGTTCAGACCAGACCAAACTTAAACTAGTCTGAACTAGTCTGATATGTTAGATGTATGTTCTATGTGTGTTATACAACTATTCAAAGTTGGCTTGGTCTAATCTAGTCTATTTACGTGTAATCTAATCTGGTGTGGTCTGGGATTATATACCGTCAAATTTGAAACATCCTAAAAAGTGTCAATTATAGTTACTTTGTATTACCGTATATGATAATAGAATAAAGACAATATCCAATATAAAGATGAATGAAAAGTATATATGATCACCCAAATATTATCAAATATAGTATGCGATAAACTTAATGAAACAGATAAAAAAATAAAGACTGAGATACAAATAGTGGGGTAGATGATGTGATTAATATAAATTAAGATAAATAAATACCTCATAAGAATGAAAGTCAAGAGTACAATTTTACTATGTTACAAATATTTATATATTTGGTGGTAGTGGGAATTTGTTATATTATACTCGTAGTTAATTGTTTTTTAGGAATGAAGTTAAAAAATGTCGTTGAGTATATTGCTTTAATTAATATACGGAGTAGAGCTTTAGGATTCAATTTTAGGAAAGTGGGCAAATTTGAAAAGCATTACAATATAATGGGTCTGATTCTTAAGTTTCTGCGAGAGGACAAATCAGTCCAGTAGTGGAATAAAAACGGTGCACCAAGCACGTCCAGTATATTTATTTGACAGACGTGCTTGGTGCACCGTTTTTTTTGACAGACGTGCTTGGTGCACCGTTTTTATTCCAAAGTAGTCCAATAGTGGAATATTTCACAAATAAATATTAGTCATATTTTTGAGAAAATGAAAACTAGTCCATCATACTTTTGTCTTTCAAAAGTGTAGAGATAATATTTTTTGTCATCTTAAATGTGCCTCATTCATCCATGTTTAACTTACAATGAGATCTTTCATTGTCATGTACGTGTTCTACTCTTTTTTAAAATTGAATGATATTACAATAGAAGTATAGATATCTAGCATATGTTTAACATCTAATATATATGGGAAAAGAACGAATAAATTTAGCTGTCTATAAAAATATAGGGTTTTTTTTACAAGAATATTACTAAAATAAAACATATTTACATGAATCTGACTATTCATTACTACAATGTGGTGTTGTGGTAACTTAAGCTCAAAACTTGAACATGAATTACTATGATTTCATTACTACTCTAGTCACTAATCATATTTTTGTAAATCATCTTTATTTTGGTCATATTTATGTAATTATTTCAAAAATATATTGAATTTCTTAAAAAGGGAACTACTTTGGGGGGAAAGTTATTGGTAAGGCAACGATTAATCTTCAGGTCTCTCTGATTTATGATTCCAATTTTTCTTCGAGGACAATTGTGTTTATATCTGATCAAGGATGAGTAGCCATTTGGGTTGTAATGAGTATAATATGTTTATGTGTGCTAAGGATAATAGTTTTTATTCTCTCCCTTTCAATATTATCTTCAAATTTTCATTTTCCATTCGTCCCAAAATTATTATTTTTTTCTTATTTAGCAAGAAATTCGTGATTCATAGCATTTTTTACTCATTCTTACACATTTTTCTCTCTTCTACACAATTCTCCACCACACAATACTCGCTACAATACTCACTATCTTAGTTCTTGTATCATTTGTCCATGAAATAAATTACTAGGTATGAATGGAGGGAGTATGATTTTGACATAACCAATTCTCATCAGAAAAAAAGTTTTGGTTTTACTTGTGAAATTGAAGGAAGAATTCAGCAGCTTGATCAAAATGAACTTTGTTACATCCATTAAAAAATGAACTTTGTTACCTGGGAACTCTAAATTAGACTAGCTGTTACAAATATGTGCGGTTTGTGCACATCTGTTACAAATATATATCATATACGGAGTACTATCGTATGTATATTAAAGTATTCAGTATATAGTAGTCAACGATCTGTTACAAATATATATTTTGTTCATATTTAGAAGATCACTACATTAGGTCTTCACACAATATTTAAGGAAAATAGTAGTAGTAATATATATTGTAGAAAAAGTAGGAGAGAATATGAAAAAAAAAAAAGATACAAAGTAAGGGTAATTGAGTATTTAAAGTATTCATTTTATCTGCTCGGTATATAGTAGTAAATGAAAGTTTTTTGGATTATAATGGCATATATAGTCTATATATTCCGCTAATATTATCTCATTTTATCTTTTCGAAAAATCCACTAAATTGTTCGGAGTAGTAGGCCATGGTCACTTTTTTGTGAAGTTTAAAATTGGTTATATTTTTGTCTCTTCAAATCTTATTGGTAATATTTTTGTCATTAATTCATAATCAAAATACACGTAGATGTAATTGTATATGACAATTTTACTTTATTAATAAAAAAGTCCTTTTTCATACTTGGATTTAGTTAATTAGGCAGTTTAAGCTGAATGACAATTCAACTGATTTTTATTTTTTACCGAACCGCTTTTAGGATATGTTTGCAAGAGTTTAAAAAAAGCGTTTCTCCATTTTTAGATTAAAAAACTTAAATATAATTAGGGTTTTTAAGTGACAATTCGTACTTAAAAAGGCGTTTCTCGACTTTTGGGTGAAAAATGTTTTTGTACTTTTTCTATTACCCAAAAAACACATATTTTAACAAACACTATCAACTCTTACTTTTCAAAGTCACTTTTTTCTCAAAGATTGTCAACTTTTACTATTAATCACTTTTTCTAAAGGTTTCAAACCACTATTCACATGGTCAACTTAAATCATTCACAGTCTTTTACTTTATGATACGGAGTAGTATATTAAATTTTTATCAAATTTACATTTTCTGTATCAAGCTTTGTAACGGTTTTAATGTAATTTCTAAATATGTAAATTTTATTTACTAAAAATAATCAGAGTGTAAACATGAATCAAGTTGTTTTATCATCAGTCAAGCGAGGGCTCCCTTAGAATGAGCAAACATTTTGTTTTGCAAACATTTTGAAACACTCCCTAAATACTAATGAAAATATTTAGTACATTATTTAGCTTTTTATAACTCCGTTGTCATTGGCCTGAAAAGTTGAAAATGAGCAAGATTATGCAAATGTGTGGAGATTACGGAAATAGACGGCACAATTTATGCTTAAACTTTACGAGAGTACGTCACTGACTGTAGGTGTCATCTCAGGATGTACAGTGTACCTGGCCGCCCTGCGAGAAACATCCAAGTTTCAATTCCCCCCTTCAACTCTGATGATAAAGCTGAACAACGGTTTGTCATTACCCCCACCGCGCTCGGCCTCTCTGCGTCACCCACTTAGCCGATCGTCACATTTTCTGTATATATATATTCATGGACCATCTCCGGAATGGGGCAAATATCGGTCCAGCAAATGTTAGTCGGTTCTCAAAGTTTTCTTCTTTCCATCCCATTTTCTCTCGATTTCTGTTCTTTCTTGCGTGAAAGGAATTTTCTCTGACAAATTCTGATTGTCTGGGTTGTCTTTGTTTGTTCAGAAGAATCTTTTTGAGCAGGGGCTTTGGTGTTTGTTGAGCTCGAGCTGGCTATGGCGATCAAGGAGTCGTCTTTTGAGAGTTCGGTAGCAACTCCAGTGAGGGTCAGTGAGATCACCGAATGTGGTGATGAGAACGAGAATGTCCGGAGCTCTGCGTTGATTCAGGAGCTACGGAGGAGAGGGGGTTTGAAAGAAGCCGTCGGAAATGCGGATGCGGTGGACTCCTCCGTGATTTCGGTGGAGGCGGCTGAGGATAGGAGTGAGATCGTAAGCGTCGATGGAGGGTTGGAGTCGCAGAGGAAATCTGGGGAAGAGAGCGGTGATAAGCAGGTTGCTGGTGGCGGCGGAAGCAGAGGAGCAGATGATGATGCTACGTCGTTTAAGTACTCGTTTAAGGCTTCTTCAGATGTTCACCGTCAAATTAAGGAGAGCCCTCTCAGCTCCGACGCCATTTTTAGACAGGTTTGTGCAATTTTCAAGCTTACAATTTGAGTCTCTATGAACTTTTTTGTTGAACATGTTTGTGTAAGCATTTCTGTACTGTGGTATCTTTTACTGTATGGAAAAGAACTATGCTTGTATGGACCCCAAAGGGGAAAAAAGAAAGTTTGGAGCTTGAGGACATCTCCAACCTTTCACACAAATGCTTACACTAAAATGGTGAAAACATCCATCCCATCAATTATATTTTTTTTTCACAACATTTCTACTCCAATCCATTAGAATTTTTCATCATTTCTACTCCAACCGTTTACACCATCTTTATAATCCATTTGTCCTAAAACAACCAAAGATTAGAGGAGCTGTGCATGAACAGTGCCAATGTGTTGCATGCTTTGACCAAGAACCGTGCGTATTCTGCTATTTTTTCTAGTGTGGTGCATGCTACTGTTGCTTGATTTCATATTTGTATGGACTGGCATAGACTACCCTTTATGTAATACCCACCACACATAAGAAGAAAGAAAAATGTTTGTGAATGAATAAACTCAAGTATATAGATCCTTTTTGTGCCTTTTATGATTTGGATTGTTCCGAGTTGAATTTGGAACAAGAATTATCCTTGCAGTTGTTGTGTTACCGTATGGTCTTTCACAATCTTGATAATTGTTTCACTTTTGTAACAGAGCCATGCAGGTCTCGTCAATCTGTGTATTATTGTGCTTGTTTCTGTAAACAGCAGGCTGATCATTGAGAATCTTATGAAGGTTTGCCTCTAATGATATTTCCATTTTTAACTTGCATACGTGAACATCGTCATAAATAAATGCAATACCAAATAGTTGATTATCTTTATGAAACTGCACTTCTTTATTTGGAATCATAATATCATACTCCGTAGTATATAAGAGTTCAGAAAGTATAGACACTGAACTGGAAAATGACAAACTTATGACTACAATGCAGTATGGACTGTTAATTAGGATGGGATGTTGGTTTAGTTCAAAATCCTTGAGGGACTGGCCAGTTCTAATGTGCGGGTAATTTATCTACAACCTTCTCCGTGGAGTTCTAACTCTATTTAGAGAATGTTCGTGTGATTTTTCTGGGTTATGTTTGCATTGCAGCCTCAGTCTAGTGATTTTTCCAATTGCTGCTTTTCTTGTTGAAAAACTTGTCCAGAGGAAGTACATAACTGATCCAGTAAGTCAGAGCTAATAGTTTATCTCCTTTTCGACTTCTATGTATTAATGGAAAGTGCTTCATATATAGTGAGGTGGTGACTGCTTGATATTTAGTACATAATTTTTCGAAGACTTGTGTAATTACTTTGGGTCCTAATATGACTGTAAACATGCAGGTTGCAGTCACTTCACATATACTAATTACAACTGCTACCATTGTATATCCGATACTTGTCATTCTATGGTGCGCCTTATGAACTTTTGATATCTACCTAGCTCCTCTAGGAAGGGATATGGGTCATATTTAGTTGTTTTCCAGTTACTGTAAAGTTGTTTTATTGAGCAATTCATGATGAGATTCTAATACACATTCCTGGGAAGTGTGGTGCAAGTTTTTATTCTCATCTAGTTTTAAATTAATAAATGCTTGATCTTCGAACTGCCCAGGTGTGATTCTGCTATTATATCGGGTGTTGCATTGATGCTTTTGACTTGCACCGTATGGCTAAAGTTGGTTTCCTATGCTCATACAAACTATGATATGAGAGCACTCTCGAAGTCTTTTCATGAGGTACTGCGTGAACTCTACTCAATTGTTCAGCTAACTATATGCGGTAGTGGTTTGCATTTATTGCCCATTTTTACTTTTCCAGAAACAAAGTCGGAATGCTTCAGCCTTCAGTTACATAAATACTACCTTTGTTTGACACTTCTTTTTGTGGAAAATACATAAAAATGTGATTCACTTTTTAAGCATGACTTTCTTTTGCTGCCTATTGACTCTGCTATTTGCTAGTGAACAAACTCTGTTAGTGGGATGGAAGGAGCACATGTTATTTGGATCAGTATAAGTATATAAATGATTATTTTGTTCACTGGGCATCATGATTCATGACATCATATTGTGGCAAGCTTCCATGAATCTACTCAAAACCATTATATTTAGGAAAAATTGAAAATATTAATCTCAATTATTGCCGGTCCGCTAACAATAATCTCAACTATTGATTATTTTTGTATAATCCCAACTATATCGACCCTCCGCCAATAATGGTCCATGACCAGAATAACATGTGAATTTTAAATAGAAATTAAGAGTAAAAATTAAAAGTTGGGATTATTTATAGAGATTACCTGCTATATCTCTTCTTATCCACTTTAGAAACTATAGGAATTTATTTATAGCCGGTCACACCGGACCATTATTGGCGGAAGGTCCCTAAAGTTGGGATTATTCTGAAATAATTCATAGTTGGGATTATTATGAGCGGATCGTCAATAGTTGGGATTATTACTATCAATTTTTCCTTATATTTATTACCAAGTTTGTTTCATTTGTCATGATACCTATTCGCACTGCTGTTCGAAAATGCTATAAGTACTTATCATATTGTGGCAAGCTTCCATGAATGTACTCAAAATCATGCTATTTATTGTTACCAAATTTGTTTCATTTGGCACGCTACCTATTCATTCTGCTGTTGGCAAATGCTATCAACACTTTTCATATTGTGGCAAGCTTTCATGAATCTACTCAAAATTGTGCTATTTACTATATACAAGTTTGTTTCATTTGTCATGCTACCTACTCACTCTGCTGTTCGAAAGTTCTATCACCACTTACAATAGTTTAAGCTTCTAGTCATTTTTACTTTGTTAGGTTGAATCTTCTAACTTGGATTGCCCTTATGAGGTTAGCTTCAAAAGCTTAATGTACTTCATGGTTGCTCCAACGCTATGTTATCAGGTGAGACTACCATGGTGCCTTGTGAATGAACCTTTTTCTATACTCCACATATTTCAATACTCAAGGTTTGGGCGGGTAGAAAATAATTATCAAAGGAATGAAGTGAATAGGAAGAAGAGTAGAGAAGTATCCAGTGTGTATCGAATGAAGGTGATGAATTTCTTATGCAGTCTATGTTAGGAAAAGTCTTCGGAACCTCTTAGTTCCGGACTTCCAGAAAATACTGTCCATTTTCCATGTCTAATTATTAAAAAATGTCTTCATTTTCATTTACCATAAAAGTTATAAAGGATAAAGAAAAAAATGTTATAAACGATATTCAAAATTATTTATTTTCTGGGTTACGAGGTCCATCCTAATATAATGTGAAAAAAGTAGATTTGTTAAAATTCTCATCTGGTTACTCCCATTTTCTCATTTTCTGTTTTGCTTTCCCCGGCGTTATCATCCATTTAGAAAACCTGAAATCATAATTAAACTTTTTTTCAAACTCATTCTCCAATTTAGAAAATAAAAAGTCGAGTTGACTAACACAATTTTCAAATAAAATATTTAATACAAAGTAGTGTTTTTTAAAAAGTACACAAATGTTATGACTTAATATAAATGAAGAAAAAGAAAAGGGCTGAAGGAGGCAAAAAGAATAATGAAAGAAAGAACAAAGAAGGAACGATGTTGGGATTGTTGGCCCCAGGAATCTAAGGGTTGCTCTAAAAGCTCTCCAAATGGAAAGATTTGGTATAAGGCATTTATGATATGAAAAAAAAGGGTAAAGAAAAGTGAGAAAAAAAGTTATAAGTAGACACTATGTCTGCTCCAGTCTCTTTGTTTTACAAACTAAGCTAGTCTTATTTCCCCCCAGTTTGAAAGAGAGTATTTGATGGGGTATAGAATCATTTCCTCCCCCAATTACTTTCTTCATTTAATTATCTATCCCTACTGTTTTCTTAAATTTTCATATATGAGAGAGTATAGTTTCACTCCGTTTTCTATCTATACATATCCCAGCACAATATTAGTCGTGTATGAAATTGTAGATCCATTATTTCATCCAACATCCTATTAAGAGTAAGTTTATGTATTTTAACAATGTTTATGGCGGTGGTGCATCAAAATTATTAAAAGGAGCTGTTAACACACCAACAAAAAGGAAAGAACCTATTTCAAGTTTTTAGGATCTAAATAATCATTCTTGCTGATAGCCAGAAATGAGAAGCTGAAAACACTTCTCAGTTATCACCCTTACTTTGACAGTTGTGAGTTGTGACTTGTGAGCGTTATGCTATGGCATCTACATCTATTCTAGACTTCTAGACATTTATTTTACTGGTTCATTCTTGTGATTCTCTACTGTTTCCATAATGATGTGTTGTTTTTTGTAGTTGTGTTATCCTCGCAATAGTTGCATTCGTAAGGGTTGGCTGGTAAACCAGTTTTTGAAGTTGATATTGTTTACAGGACTGATGGGATTTATTATAGAACAGGTGATTTTCATATCCCCTTCAAGAGTGATATTTTCATCATATTAAAATGGGGAAAACAGTCAAATAGGTCCTCGAACTTTCATAAAAAGGTCAATTAAGTCCTTCTATAGGAGGTTCTGTCCGGCCGTCGCGATTTGGGGCAGTTCCCGGTGGAATTTTTTGATGATTTTTTTTGAGCATCTTATTCACCAAGTCTAGTTTACTCATACCAAATTTCAGCTAAAACGTCAATCGGGAACACATTCAAATTAATTCTTGAAGATAACTGCGCATTTTTGCGTTTTCGAATTAATTTGAATGTGTTCCCCGATTGAATTTTTAGCTGAAATTTGGTATGAGTAAACTAGACTTGGTGAATAAGATGCTAAAAAAAATCATCAAAAAATTCCACCGGGAACTGCCCCAAATCGCGATGGCCGGACAGAACCTCCTATAGAAGGACTTAATTGACCTTTTTATGAAAGTTCGAGGACCTATTTGACAGTTTTCCCTATTAAAATGCCATCTGTTGCTGATTTGTTTTGCAATTGTTGCAGTATATTAACCCAATTGTGCAAAACTCACAACACCCCTTGAAAGGAAACCTTTTAAATGCTGTAGAGAGGGTCTTGAAGCTTTCAGTTCCCAATTTATACGTCTGGCTCTGCATGTTCTATTGCTTCTTTCATCTTTGGTATGTGATTTTGGCATCATATTTAATGTCCTGATTTCCTCATTTTGATATTTTGATTTTTTTTCGAGATGCAAATGCTTGTTCAATTAAATCAACTAAATCCATCAATAAGTGCACATAATAGCACTGACTAAATCTGCTCACTTAGAAACATTTCAACAAGAACTTTTTTATGTTTGTCATTTATAATTTTATGTGTTAGTTGAAAGCTAACCATGACCTAAGGTGGGAAGTGATGTCAGCATAGGTGATACATTTCACATTGGATCACAATGAATTGTATTGTGGTACCCATGTTGGGGCTAGACTCCACTCTTGAACTAGCTTTTGTGATGAAGTAGATGTCTCTGCTTGAGTGCCTATCTCTGGGTGGGGATGAGGATGCAACTCAGATTTAGTTAACAATAAAACTAGCCTGGCCTGATCACACTTGTCTAAATGTGATCAATTGTATTGATTTCTAATAAGTACTACTCCCTCTAAAGATTTGTGTGGTTCATTCTCTTCCCCCATATCTAAAATTATTATCACTCACGCATTTTTGTTTTCCTAGGAACCCTACTAAAAGGAAATGAGAACCTAATTTACGTAAGGAGTTGGTTCATACTCTTCACCCATTTCTAAAAGAATTCTCATTCATGCAATCTTGTTCTCTTAAGAACCCTACCAAAAGATATTGGGAACCTAATTTAGGGAAGGAGGGAATATATACTACGGAGTAATCAATTTGTTTTATTGCATCTTATTGTCTGACATAGATTTTTGAAAGGACATTGAAGTGAATTTTTAACATTTATGTTTGCTTTGGGACTTTGACAAAGAAGACTATCTCATGGGTGTCATTTGTCTTTATGATCTCAACCTAATCATCTTCACATTCTACTATTACACAGGCTAAATATACTTGCAGAGCTCTTGCGGTTCGGTGATCGTGAATTTTACAAAGATTGGTGGAATGCCAGAACAATTGATGAGGTAGGTTGTGTATGTGCACATTCATGTTGTGTACTTTAAAGTAGTTATTCCACAGTGTTCGGAAGCTGATCAAATCTTTTATTTGCTTGAACTCCCTGGGCTGCTTTAATCAGTACTGGAGAATGTGGAATATGGTATGTTTTCTACTTTCTGCATAAACTCTTTTCCTATGATTTCTCTACTACTGAAGATGAAAGCACTAAAATTGTTTGGTCTGTGTAATTGTTTAGTGACGATGTGGTGGAAATTAAGTTTCTTTGCAATCACCTTACTTAGTTGAATAGATTTCACCATTTTACAATCGCAAAATTCTTTTTTCACTTTTGAGGCCTAAAACTGCTGTTGCTGATAAGAAATACTAGATACCTCTATCTAACACTGATAGAGGAATTAGATAGCAGGTACTTAGTTGTGAACTTGTTTATTATTAATTTGTATTCCGCTCAATTTTTATTATTGCAGCCTGTTCACAAGTGGATTGTTCGCCATATCTATTTTCCCTGCATAAGACGTGGCGCACCAAAGGTACGTATACGTATATGTTTTCCCTCCGTCCCGTATGATACTTATTACTTAATACTCCCTCCGTCCCGTTGAAAGGTTCTCACTTCCCTTTTTAGGGTGTTCCATTCAAAGGTTCTCATTCCGTTTTAGGAAATAATTTACCTATTTACTATCTTTAGTTAAGCCTTTACTCAAATTTCTCTTTCCTACTCATTACATGTCAAGTCTCACAATCTCACATCACCCAACTTATCTCCCTTTAATTACTTTCACTTCGTATGTTTACTTTTTCTAAACTTTTTCTTTCATGACTCATCTCCTTTTTACCCAAATTACTTTATTTAACCACTTGCCTAAAAAATCGTGTCGTTTACCCACGGGAACCTTCCAACGGGACGGAGGGAGTACATGTAAAGCTACATAAGGAGATAATTTTATAACTACCATTCACGGATGTATACAGTTGTGTACTCTAGAAGCCTCTTATAGAGGTCCTTTAACACTTTCCTTTTTTAGAAGACCTTTTGATATATAGTTGAGTTGTCCACATTTTCTCACCGAATCGGGTCATGATAAATTTGTTACTTATAAAGTTATAAGTAATGTTTGATAAAGCGTAATGGAATGGAATCAAATATATGTTTCGAGTGTAAACCTACATTACACATTTACACACCCATTTTTTGCGAACCAATACCATACACTCTTATGGTCATGAGATAACCTTTGCGCATGGAGAATTACTTGTCCTCAACTCAGAGCCTCATGGTTAATTGAGCTAAATGACTTGATGAACTTCTTATCCACGACTGATATTCAATATTCACTTCTTGGTGCAGGGAGTGGCGGTTTTGATTTCCTTTTTCATATCTGCTTTCTTCCATGAGGTATAATCATGCTCCCTTTTGCATATCCAAACTTTGGAGTCAATTCATTTTTATCATGACATAGAAATGTTGTTTGTTCATCTGCAGCTTTGTATAGCCGTACCCTGCCGGATGTTCAAGTGTTGGGCATTCATCGGAATAATGTTCCAGGTGTGCATCTCTCTTGCATGACAAAACCACTCTACCATTAGAAAAATAATATTAGAAAATGAAAAGACTAGAAATGAGAATATATTGCCTGATTGGTGAATTGTGTTGTCTTCTGTGCATCAGGTTCCGCTGGTCATCCTTACTAACTTCTTGCAGAACAAGTACAGGAGTTCAGTGGTATGTTTTTCAACTGAAATTATATTCCTCAGCTAATATGAAACCTCATTTACTTACCTGAATTATTTTACCCTATATTGGAGAGTATAATTCAGGCAGGAAAGTCATGTTTTAAACAAAATAAAGTCTCCCTATAGCAGCAACCAGCATGTTAAGTATATTATTGATCTGTATGTGACTTGTTTGCAGGTAGGGAATATGATATTTTGGTGTTTCTTCAGCATCTTTGGGCAGCCCATGTGTGTGCTGCTTTATTATCATGACCTGATGAACAGGATGCAGGGAATAGAGTAGAGTTTTTTTTCAGCTAGGCATTGTAGATCAGTTAGCCTTTTTACATTATTTTTTTTGCAAATTAACCCTCTCTGTACTATGCATAGCATATGAGGGTTTCTGTTGTTCTATCTTCTGTACATTGGCTCACCATAGTGGGCGTTTTGTATTTGGGCTCACGATATGTGGGCGGTCGGTTGATACTTTAGCTCGTGTAATTATATAAATATATGTGCATGGTCGGAACTTAAAGGTCAAAAAGAAGATGGTCGAAACTTAAAGGTCAAAATCAAATCAACTTCTTAGACCCAAAACTGCAACCTTAATAAACCAACAAAGTCGACCTTTAGGCTGCAGTTTTGTGCTTTGGGTATTTTACACTGCATGACAATAGCACACAAATTGCGCACGGCAAATGCACAGTACTTGCACGGCAATTGAATACGGTTGCAGCAAAGCAAATAATGTTATATAGATATAAAATCAGAAACATTTCATTTTTTGGATTAAAAATGTCTAGATTTTTTCATTCGTTAGCATGAATTATTAATGTTGATTGTTAGATGATATTGAAGATAAAGCTAATTTTATTTATGAATTAGTTTAAACTGTTATGTGTGATGGTGAAAAGGTAGCCTTATAATGTTTTTCACACAAACTCAAAACTAAATTTATAGCTAATGCTACCGAGTGAAGAAAAACCTGGCTGTGACTTGATGAACTTCAGAGCCTCATGGGTAATTGTGCTTAATGACTTGATGAACTTCTTATCCACGGACTGATATTCAATATTCATTTCTTGGTGCAGGGAGTGGCGGTTTTGATTTCTTTTTTCATATCTGCTTTTTCCATGAGGTATATGGTGTTCCCTTTTGCATACCCAAACTTTTGAGTCAATTCATGTTTATCATGACATAGAAATGTTGTTTGTTCATCTGAAGCTCTGTATCGCTGTACCCTGTCGGATGTTCAAGTGTTGGGCATTCATCGGAATAATGTTCCAGGTGTGCATCTTTCTTGCAAGACAAAACCACTCTACCATTAGAAATATAATATTAAGAAATGACAAGAAATTGAGAATATATTGCCTGATTGGTGAATTGTGTAATCTTCTGTGCATCAGTTAACCTATATGTGAGAGCAAAATGATTTAGGCAGGAAAAGAGTTTTTCTAAGGAGACTCTTCATATAGCAGCAACCAGCATGTTAATTATATCATTGATCTGTATGTGACTTGTCTGTAGGTGGGAAATATGATATTTTGGTGCTTCTTCAGCATCTTTGGGCAGCCCATGTGTGTGCTGCTTTATTATCATGACCTGATGAACAGAATGCAGGGAAAAGAGTAGAGTTTTTTTCAGCTAGGCATTGTAGATCAGTTAGCCTTTTTTACATTATTTTTTTTGCAAATTAACCCTCTCTGTACTATGCTTTGCATATGAGGGTTTCTGTTGTTCCATCTTATGTACATTGGCTCACCATAGTGGGCGTTTTGTATTTTGGCTCGCAATATGTGAGCGGTTGGTCGGTACTTTAGCTCGTGTAATTATATAAATATGTGCATGGCTAGTTAGACGCAGACTCAGAGTAGTGCATACAAAAAGAAGATGGTCGGAACTTAAAGGTCAAAATCAAATACAACTTCTTAAACTAACAAAATTGACCTTTAGGCCGCTATGTTGTGCTTTGGGTATTTTACACTGCACGGCAATAGCACACAAATTGCACGGCACTCGCACGGCAAACGCAGAGTGCTTGTACGGCAATTAAATACGGTTGCAGCAAAGCCAAATTTTATATAAATGTAAAATCCGAAGCATTTCATTTTTTTTGCTAAAAATGTCTAGATTTTTTTCATTGGTTAGCATTAATTGTTAATGTTGATTGTTAGATGATATTGAAAATTCATTTTATTGAATATAACGCTAATTTTATTTATAAATTAGTGTAAACCGTTGTGTGAGATGGTGAAAAAACGGCCTTGTACTTTTTGAAGTATGTAGATTTCTGAAAATAAAAATGCAAAGGCCCCAAATTCGATGTGAAATCCCAACTATGGCAAGATTTGCGATCAAGGAGAGAAGAAGAATAAAGGTCTGGTCGTAGTTGACTTGAAGAAAACCGAAAAATCTTGAGCTAGGGAAGATGAGATGCATCACTGCATCAGAGGCAAGGCGAGGCGCAGAGAGGTAGATCGGTGGCTTGGGAGTTGGGGTAGTGGAGTCAGAGGATGGTGTCATGGACATGGGAAGAGAGAACGTGCCTCCAAGCTTGTGCAGAGATGGAGATCGACGTGGCATCATGGCTGATGGCGGCAGAGAGGAAGGCACCATGGTCGAGCAAAGAGAGATGACATTGTGGCTTACAGACTGGGAGACACAAAGAAATGTTAAACAATCACATTTTTGTCCAAATATTCATATTCTTGTCCATACAAAGTGCATAAGTAATATTTTTGTTTATTTTTTCAATTTAAAGAGGATGTTACTTTCAATCAATGCCTTTTCCAAGATCTCTAGATCTATTGTCTAGCTTAGAATGATAAATCGAAAAAATATATTCTTTCATAATTATCAATAAGTTTTGATCCTTATCTATTAATATATAAAAGCAAAAGATTTTCATGAATAGGACTCCCGCTCAAAACTATCAACATCAAGGCAAATAGTGAAAAAGATAAATAAATAAATAAATAAATAAAGAAAAAGGCACAATGCCAAGTTGGGCTATCAAAGTAGCGTGTGAAGTAAGCACAAAGATACATTCACAATTTATGCGTGTAACTCTGGCTTTGATTAGTCACTTCATCTCACTTTGCCCATACCATTTCATAATTGTTTTTTTCCCAGCCATACACTTGAATGAAAATTTATCTATAAATACATCCTTTGATCGTATGGTTTCCTCACACCTGGTCGCTGAACATAGCTCTAATAACACCAAGCTCTTGAAATACAATATCAAAATGGTTGGAGTATGGTCCCTAATCCGAGGTGTTAGCATCATTCCTGATATGGATAAAGAGGTGGCGAGTTTGATTGGGAGGTCTGCCTTTTCCCTGAAAGATTACACATCAAGACAGGGCTCATGTGTTAGTATTTATGTTTTACCTATATTTTACTCCCTCCGTCCCTTAAAACTATGCCAACTTTCCTTTTTTGGATGTCCCACTAACTTTGCCACTTTCCATTTGAAGTAAAGAATTTGTGGTTCCAGACAATTCTCTCTCCTCTGCACAAACCTCAACCACACAGTTTTTACTTTATTAATCCCCGTGCCGGTCAAACTTAGCAAAGTTTTAAGGGACGGAGGTAGTATTTAGCAGTGATAAGTAGTGTTAACTCTCTACTGGCTATGACTAACATTTTGTTATGTTAGTGTAGTCTACATCTTTTACAAAATTTTTAGCATGTCAAGAATGATAGTGAGATGATCGTGATGCATAAAATGTATAGGGATGCATATGATGCTTATGGATTTTACAGCACTTTTCCAGTGCATAAACCACATTAAAAATGATGCATGTCATTCCTGATAAAGATTGAACTATTCATTTACATTCTTGCAAAAGGCAAATAATCAGATTCTCATAGACAGATACCCATTTAAAAAAATCTTGATGTGTATAAAAATCTGTATTAATTAATGTCAAAATGTCAAACGTTTGTTATTGATGAGAAATGAGTACATATTTTTATCATTTCTCTTGACTCTGCGTACAAACAATGAACAAGGTGCAAAACAGTTTAATCAATAGTCTTTCCTGATTAATAAATTATATAATTGAATCAGTGAAAAATTAAATTTCAAACTAAAATGCAATTAAGTGGTCTTTCCTGACCATGCTTCGTAAAAAGTTAGAATCAGTTATATTGTTTCAAGTTTACGCGAAGGTATAAGCTGTGTGAATACTGTGGGTTCTTGATTTCAAAGGTTTATTTATATGCTTTAGGTAGATCCACTCAAAGCTTTGTTGGTTACAGTAGAATTTTGAAATACATCACACAGCCAATATTGGTGGGGGAGATAAGGTTCAACTGTTCAAGTGTTCATTTACATACAACTTCTATAACTTCGCAAAAGAATAATCACATAGATTCTCATTTGATCTGGAAATAATACATTATAAAAATGTAAAGATTAGATTTGAAATTTTTGGGTTAAATACTATACGCATGTCTATTAGCAATTGTTTAATTTTGAGTCTCACAGATTATATCTTATGTAATCTTCAACAATAGTTCGTGAATCGTGACTTCGTGAATAGTTTAATTTGATTTTTCCTGAAGTAGTTTTTTTCATATATTTGTAAAAAATGTTGATGAAATTAAATACATAAAACGGATGAAAAATCAAATGAACAGTGTCTGCATATTCATTAGATCTGTTAGTTGTGAATGATGTGGTTTGTATAGAAGTCTGATGGTTTGGGGTCAAGGGGCTGTATCTTTCCCTACAACTGAAAACCTTATCATTCAAATTAAACTTTATACTCAAACTTGGGTTCAGAGCTGGGGGAAATTGAAATTCAGATCTGTGGACAATATTCTCTATGAGGAAAAGCTGATTCCATATAATTTCAAGACAGGAAGTTCTAAGGTTGCAATCGCGAAGTGGATTAAACCTAAAGGTCAGCTTAAATTAAATATTGATGCATCTTTCTCACCTGATGGAGCTGCTGGAGGAGCTATCATGAGAAACGAAAGGGGAGAAATGTTGTTTGCTCTGTGTTTTCCGTTGTCTGCAGATTCCAGTCTCGAGGCGGAGCTAAAAGCTATTGTCACGGCAACGAAATGGGCTCTGAGTTCCGGCTATGGTGATTTCGTGGTTGAATCGGATGCATCGAGAGCGGTCGAGCTGATTTCAGCTAAGAGAGAAGGTAGATGGTCTTCGTTGGTTCAGGAGATGGCTCTTTCGACTTCTCAGACATAGGTGGGCTTCAGACACATATGGCGAGAAAGGAATTGGGCTGCTCATTACATTGCAACTTCCAAGCCAGCCCAATTCAGGGTTATCAACTCTATTAATTATTTATCAGACGTGAGCAGAAAGGCATATTTTTTAGACTATTTTGGCATTCCGTCTCTTAGATATGTTTAATTTTGTTATTGATCTTTCATTTATTTATCTGCTGAGAGGTATTGGCTTGGTCCCCCTCTCTATTTGTAATTGCTCCTTTTTTAATTAAATTACTGCAAATGTTCCCCGGCGTTTGCCCCACTGATTTTGGTGGTTTGCCTACTCGGTTAAAAAAAAAGTATAGAAGTCTGATTAATTTCCGAAAAAATGGCTATTCGATGAGATGGTTCATGTATTAATAGAGAGATTGTTGTGTTATTACTGTTCTCATATAACTCTGAACGGAGAAAAATATTAAGATAGACAGTTGATTGATTCAGGGCTGGAGGGATCAGATTGGTTGACTTCCATCAGTGCAGGAAACTTTCACCACGCCATAGCCTTTCCGTTATCGGCATGAAACCCCCTTCATGCTGAAATATTGGCTTTGGAAACCTCCACAGATAAAGGTGAATAAGGGATACACATCTTTCAATATCCAAACTAATTCAGAAACTAGCGTCAAAATGATACAAGGGTTTACCTCTATATCTGGGTATCTGTTACCAACGGTGATGAACATCAACCGTCTCAAGCTGGCGAATGCTCTCTCACTCTGTCATCCACCAAGGGAAGCAATCTATTTGGACTTCGTCTCCCTGCGCATAAAACACTTTCCCTCAACGATCTACCCACTAAAGCAAAGAAATCCTATTTTGAAGACAAGAATGGTGTTACCTTCTTCAGAGACGCAGGCTGATCCATGGTCGTGGCTCTTAGTGGAAGATTAATCGCACCTCTCCCCGTCTCTCTCTAACTAGAAGCGGGTGAAGCTGAGTATGAAAAGAAGTCTCTGGAACTGGACGCAGTTCCCTTCGACACCAGCATCCTCACCCACTCTCCTGCAACCGGACACCCCCAACTTCTCTCATCAAAATCAAAGAACAATCTGGAACAATTTGGAGTATTATGTTTCATTGCCCCCACATATTTTCTCTTGGAGGCTAGCTCACTATTTTTTTCCCTGGGCCGGTGTTGGCTGTTTAGGATTGGGCCTTATACTTTAAGCGTTGGGCTTTTATCCATCTCTCTGTAAACGTTGCAATATTTGAATAAATTGGTAAGGTTTTCTTATGAATGGTGTGAGTGCGTCTGTGTATTAGAGTGCAAATAGGTTCCTCATGACATATCATTTACCTCAACTTATTGAAATTGACCATAATCGGTAGAGGTTTTTATACAATTTTTGGTAAGGTTTTCTTCATAATTTTAAAATTAGGTGTGAGTGAGTGTGTGTATTAGAGTGAAAATAGGCTCGGTTGTAGATTAAATGGGTTGATGTAGATAATATCTCATGATTTGGAATTTAGTAGAGTGATCTGCTGGAAATTAGATAAATATTATAGAGAGTGACGGATCCTTCTTTTATAGTCCCTCCGAATTTAAAAGATCACTATACTTCATTTTTTGGAAGTACTTAAAATTTTTCTACAATGCTCAATTAGGAAAAGTTTTATCTGTGAAAATACATGAATACCCTTATCTTAATATATTATTTGTTGAGTTGCAAATTATATTATTTTAGGAAATAATTTATTCTCTGAATATTGTTACCAAACTAAGTTTAGCGAAAAGAAAGTATCATATAAATACAATTATTTTAAAATTTTGATAAATTCGGTTTTTAATCTAGCTATTTTGACAAGTTATGGAAATTTATTTTCCAAGAGTCGACCAAAACTATTAAAAGTAAAAATTACAGAAAAAGGTAAATAAATAGGAATTCTTACATTGTACGGAGTACGTAGTACTTTCATATTATGTACAATCTCATGTATGTATTTATTTCATAAGTTTTTTTAGTATTTATCTATTTTGAAATTTTTACTATATTTATATTTCTATATATTTATTTTTAAAATTGAAGATTTTTTTTTAAATCGTATAAAAACGGGGAGGTGCAAATACATAAACGTGGAGTACATCTCATTGATACTCCACAATTATACTTCAAACTTGATTACGTTTTGAGATGTAATGCTACTCCAAAATCATTATACTCCGTAAATCTTATTGAATACCTCCTCCGTCCCTTATAACTTTGTCAACTTTCCTTTTTTGGATGTCCCATTAACTTTGCCACTTTCCCATTTAAGTAAAGAATTTGTGGTTCCAGTTAATTCTCTCTCCTCTGCACAAACCTCAACCACACAGTTTTTACTTTATGAATTCCCGTGCCGGTCAAACTTGACAAAGTTATTAGGGACGGAGGGAGTACATTTCATTTATTTACATCAAACTTGATTATTGTGTATGTTTTTTTTCTAATTTGAGTAAAATTTCGTCCTTTAAATTTCACCAACCAAACATCACACTGGAATTGTACTTATTTTTGAATTAAGAGCTACTATAGAATCTATCTATTGAATGTGTTTCGAAAGTTATTGTGATTAAATGATAACATTACTTTTCATATACAGACTCAACTAACATTATCTCACAAATTCATATTTGAGTATTGTTTAATAATTCCATAACACATTTTCACATATTTGCACACCCCCTGATTTGCCAATTTACTCGGGCAATTCGTTTAAAAAATGTAATTCGTATAAATGCATTGTCACTATATTACTTGAGATATTTATACTTACACTTATTTCAGTCTCAGACCAAACCAAACTTAAACAAACCAGATCAGACCATACTTGGATATTAGAAATGGTAGAAGCACATATTTGAACATTTTCCCATAAATTTAGATTCAAGTATAATTCAAGAATGACATAACACACTTTCACATATTTTACTTCCTTATTTTACCTATTTAGAGAGATAATTCGTCTAAAAAATGCAATTCGTGTAAATTTATAGTCACCTTATTACTTAGTCTTTATAAATAATTTACCTTCAATTAATCTATATAAACCTTTGAAAATGAAAAAAAATGGCAAAATCATTTGCGCATCGCAAGGTAAATTACTAGCAAAACATTTTACTAAAAGAAATGATTTTGACATAAGTTAGTGGGAGCTAAAATGTGTTGATTCCTAAGCATTCATATTACCAACTTCAAATGTTAACCGTGCATTGCACGATCAGTCGATGAGATACAGATGTACTATGACTGTAGATACATTTCTACGTGCGAGGCTTTTTGGGGCATATTTGGGTTTGAAATTCAATATAAGACCCCCGCAATTGAACCTTTGAGCTTCCATTTGCCAGAAGAACAAAGTGTCATCTTTCACGATGATCAGCCTCTGGATTCAGTGGTTCAGGCAAGTCGTACCCGGAAGTAATGCTTTAGTATTGTGAACACATCGATTTCAATGCATATTTACAATGTTATGGTTTCAACTTATTTGTTGGATGTTTTTGATCTTTTAAAGTAATGCTTAGTAATCTCATTTTGCCCATAATATTATAAGTGTGTTTCGTTTAATGCTTTGATGTATATCAATATTACATGAAGATAGATGTTGTCATCAATTAATAGTGTGATTTGAATTACTAAGCATACATAATTTGAAAAAATAAAAATTCTCAAACCGTGCATCGCACGGGTGAGTTTACTAGTTTTACAAAATGATACTACGGGGTAACTTTGAAAGAAAACGTTAACTTTCCCATTACCATAAAAAAGTTATCCATATAAAAAAATAAAAATAAAAAATGCACACCTTCCTACTAACTTTGTACATGAGTGATGTGAGTATTAAAAAAAAGAGGATTATAGTAAAAATAAAATAAAAACGGTTTACAACTAGTGGTGGACCGGGCCCGGTCCAGTTTAGGCCTAAGCCTGGCCGGGCCTGGATAGTTTTGGGTAAGGTCCAGGACCGGCCCGGGGGCCGGGAGTCTACCGGTTCCGATTCAATTTTTTTTGTGTTTTCTGAATTATTTCAACCCCTACCCCCCCCCACCAATCCCCACCCCCAAACCCCTCAGAAACACCCGGTCCAAACCAAAAAAAAGGCCCGAACCGGACCAGTTCGCCTTTTTCATGCCTTGGAACCGCCCCCGGTTACCCCCTTGGGTGGAAATGAGGAAAAACGAAAGGAAATCAGAATATGAATCACATGTGCAGCGAATAAAGAACAAAAGTGAACTAAATTTCAAAGGGAAAGTTCCCGAAATAGGACTAAAATAGTTTGAAAATTCCAAAATAGGATTGACATGTTTTTTATTCCCGAAATAGGAGTAATTACTGCAAAGTTTGAGAAATACTGTCATGTTTGAAGTCTGATACTGCCAAAACATGACTGTAATTAATCTTATTTTGGGAATAAAAACATGACAGTCCACCACCGCTTAACAATTTATTGTGATATTGTCTTCCCCATGTTGCCAACTTTGCACATATGGGATAATGGGACAATGCAATAAAGGCAAAACGCGCAAAGATAAAATGATTGCACTCACTTTCACGTTGATTCAAAACGAGCTTAAGCCACGTCGCAGATATCAGACCAGTACTCTGACGAGTTCAAGGCCCTGTCCAGGCTAAAAAACGATCCAGGAACAGGACCCTCTCCTATGGGAGCTTGTATTGGAAGGGGGTATACTGTAGCAGTTTAATATCAAGGGGCAACATAACACATCATAATGGTCAAATTTACAGGTTTATAATATTTGCCAAACACATTTTAATTTCACGGCGCACTGATACGGCTCCGCGTACCAGAATAATCAAATCAGCCTGCACACATTACAACAATACAATCTGCATCTCTATTCTGACGAGACCCACATCTGACTCTTGATAGATTTTCCTTAATAGGAAAACTCAAATTCCAAACACAGATGGGAGTCAAAAAATTTACAACACTGGAGAGTTAACCAGTAAGCCGTACGTTTTCTATTCATCATCCAAACGAAGGGTTTCTACACCTTTGACAGTGGACTCATAGTTCTTACTCCCAGAAGTAGCAGTGTGTTTGGAGGGGTGGTCCGAGGAGCTTCTTTGTCCACCGCCTGTTTTCTGCAGGGTCCCTGGGCTTATATCCGGTGTTCGTGAACGTGTGGGGTCAGATTCATTCCCGATGGTTAATGTTTCACGCCCACTAGAGACTGCACCTCGCCTGAATGACCCACTCGATCGTCCCATAAAGCTGGAGCTAGATACCTGTAACATTCACATTCACTTAAGTTATTTACTTATGAGGTACAAGTCTAACCATCTAACCAAATACCCCACTAGCCTAC